CCCTCCTGTTCTCCACTCATTACCTGTATTAACTGCACCTGTTTGAACTCATTACCTGTATAAAAGACACCTGTCCACAAACTCAATCAAACACACTCCAACCTCTCCACAATGGCCAAGACCAGAGAGCTGTGTAAGGACATCAGGGATGAAATTGTAGACCTGCACAAGGCTGGGATGGGCTACAGGACAATAGGCAAGCAGCTTGGTGAGAAGGCAACAACTGTTGGCCTAATTATTAGAAAATGGAACAAGTTCAAGATTACGGTCAATCGCCCTCGGTCTGGGGCTCCATGCAAGATCTCACCTTGTGGGGCATCAATTATCATGAGGAAGGTGAGGGATCAGCCCAGAACTATATGGCAGGACCTGGTCAATGACCTGAAGAGAGCTGGGACCACAGTCTCAAAGAAAACCATTAGTAACACACTACGCCGTCATGGATTAAAATCCTGCAGCGCACGCAAGGTCCCCCTGCTCAAGCCAGCGCATGTCCAGGCCCGTCTGAAGTTTGCCAATGACCATCTGGATGATCCAGAAGAGGAATGGGAGAAGGTCATGTGGTCTGATGAGACAAAAATATAGCTTTTTGGTCTAAACTCCACTCGCCGTGTTTGGAGGAAGAAGGATGAGTACAACCCCAAGAACAGCATCCCAACCGTGAAGCATGGAGGTGGAAACATCATTCTTTGGGGATGCTTTTCTGCAAAGGAGACAGGACGACTGCACCGTATTGAGGGGAGGATGGATGTGGGCCATGTATCGCGAGATCTTAGCCAACAACCTCCTTCCCTCAGTAAGAGCATTGAAGATGGGTCGTGGCTGGGTCTTCCAGCATGACAACGACCCGAAACACACAGCCAGGGCAACTAAGGAGTGGCTCCGTAAGAAGCATCTCAAGGTCCTGGAGTGGCCTAGCCAGTCTCCAGACCTGAACCCAATAGAACATATTTGGAGGGAGCTGAAAGTCTGTATTGCCCAGCGACAGCCCCGAAACCTGAAGGATCTGGAGAAGGTCTGTATGGAGGAGTGGGCCAAAATCCCTGCTGCAGTGTGTGCAAACCTGGTCAAGACCTACAGGAAACGTATGATCTCTGTAATTGCAAACAAAGGTTTCTGTACCAAATATTACGTTCTGCTGTTCTGATGTATCAAATACTTATGTCATGCAATAAAATGCAAATTAATTACTTAAAAATCATACAATGTGATTTCCTGGATTTTTGTTTTAGATTCTTTAGATGCTTTGTAAATAAGAAAACCTGCAAAATCGGCAGTGTATCAAATACTTGTTCTCCCCACTGTGTGTGTATATATATACACACACACACACACACACACACACACACACACACACACAGTGGGGAAAAAAGTTATTTAGTCAGCCACCAATTGTGCAAGTTCTCCCACTTAAAAAGATGAGAGAGGCCTGTAATTTTCATCATAGGTACACGTCAACTATGACAGACAAAATGAGAAAAAAATAATCCAGAAAATCACATTGTAGGATTTTTTATGAATTTATTTGCAAATTATGGTGGAAAATAACTATTTGGTCAATAACAAAAGTTTCTCAATACTTTGTTATATACCCTTTGTTGGCAATGACACAGGTCAAATGTTTTCTGTAAGTCTTCACAAGGTTTTCACACACTGTTGCCTGTATTTTGGCCCATTCCTCCATGCAGATCTCCTCTAGAGCAGTGATGTTTTGGGGCTGTCGCTGGGCAACACAGACTTTCAACTCCCTCCAAAGATTTTCTATTGGGTTGAGATATGGAGACTGGCTAGGCCACTCCAGGACCTTGAAATGCTTCTTACGAAGCCACTCCTTCGTTGCCCGGGTGGTGTGTTTGGGATCATTGTCATGCTGAAAGACCCAGCCACATTTCATCTTCAGTGCCCTTGCTGATGGAAGGAGGTTTTCACTCAAAATCTCACGATACATGGCCCCATTCATTCTTTCCTTTACACGGATCAGTCGTCCTGGTCCCTTTGCAGAAAAACAGTCCCAAAGCATGATGTTTCCACCCCCATGCTTTACAGTAGGTATGGTGTTCTTTGGATGCAACTCAGCATTCTTTGTCCTCCAAACACGACGAGTTGAGTTTTTACCCAAAAGTTATATTTTGGTTTCATCTGACCATATGACATTCTCCCAATCCTCTTCTGGATCATCCAAATGCACTCTAGCAAACTTCAGACGGGCCTGGACATGTACTGGCTTAAGCAGGGGGACACGTCTGGCACTGCAGGATTTGAATCCCTGGCGGCGTAGTGTGTTACTGATGGTAGGCTTTGTTACTTTGGTCCCAGCTCTCTGCAGGTCATTCACTAGGTCCCCCAGTGTTGTTCTGGGATTTTTGCTCACCGTTCTTGTGATCATTTTGACCCCACGGGGTGAGATCTTGCGTGGAGCCCCAGATCGAGGGAGATTATCAGTAGTCTTGTATGTCTTCCATTTCCTAATAATTGCTCCCACAGTTGATTTCTTCAAACCAAGCTGCTTACCTATTGCAGATTCAGTCTTCCCAGCCTGGTGCAGGTCTACAATTTTGTTTCTGGTGTCCTTTGACAGCTCTTTGGTCTTGGCCATAGTGGAGTTTGGAGTGTGACTGTTTGAGGTTGTGGACAGGTGTCTTTTATACTGATAACAAGTTCAAACAGGTGCCATTAATACAGGTAACGAGTGGAGGACAGAGGAGCCTCTTAGAGAAGAAGTTACAGGTCTGTGAGAGCCAGAAATCTTGCTTGTTTGTAGGTGACCAAATACTTATTTTCCACCATAATTTGCAAATAAATTCATTAAAAATCCTACAATGTGATTTTCTGGATTTTTTTTCCTCAATTTGTCTGTCATAGTTGACGTGTACATATGATGAAAATTACAGGCCTCTCATCTTTTTAAGTGGGAGAACTTGCACAATTGGTGGCTGACTAAATACTTTTTTCCCCACTGTGTGTGTGTGTGTGTGTGTGTGTATATAGATATATATATGCACGCACCACTTTTACATTTTTTTTTTTTTTTGTAGACCTTCTTTTTTCATTTCACTTCACCAATTATTTACATATTTATTTTTGGGGGTCATTTTAGCAGACGCTCTTATCCAGAGCGACTTACAGTTAGTGAGTGCAAACATTTTCATACTCGCCCCCCGTGGGAATCAAACCCACAGCCCTGGCGTTGCAAGCGCCATGCTCTACCAACTGAGCTGCAGGGGACTGTTTGTTTGGACTATTTTGTGTATGTCCATTACGTGAAATCCAAATAAAAATCCATTTCAATTACAGGTTGTAATGCAACAAAATAGGAAAAACCCAAGGGGGATGAATACTTTTGCAAGGCACTGTATATCTGGGCTAATAACTCACTTACTAGCAAAGAATATGAACAAATGTACACACCTGGCTACACGCAGCTCTTGCTTTGATCTCAAAACAAGTGCATCTACTCGCGACCACTGATGCTGTAAACACGGCCTAGTTCAAAGTGAATGGCACAGATCCATACGTGGCAATGGTTCATTTGCATATAGGGACACTGCAGCTGTGATTGGTTATGGTGCACCGGTCTGTGTATAGTATGGGTTTGAGACGTGCCTGTCAATGCAATAGAATCCCACTCCGATGCGCTCTGACTACAAGAAAATCTCTTGCATAGTTAGTTATGTTTCGGTATGTTGCATTGAAAGTGGTTAATATTGCGTTGATTCAATCACAATTCGCACAGTGGAGGGAAACGTTGATAGTGTTAACTAAAGGGGAAAACTAGAAAGTTGAGTTAAGTTCAATCTCGTGCTTCTCTGAACGGGCTGATATTTCTACTGCACTGCAGTCCCGAGAGCTTCGCGTCCGTGCACAGCTTAGAGGGAACATTGCTTCCAAAACACACACACACGTGTGCTGAGTGCGCACACAAGCTCCCATTTGGCCTACAAAAATAAATGCCTATAAAAACATATGATGGGATACACAAGCTACATTCATTGCCAAATGACGACAGTTTTATCACAAATTCAAAATGGACTGGTTGATTGAAGTAGGGAAATATGTGTTCCAACAACGAGCTGCAGTTCTGGCATAACTGTGTCCAGTCTATTTTCCGCTTAGGCTACTTTGCGAACTACTAGCGCCATTTTAAAACTGGTTAGCCTAGGCTAATACCCCCCTAAACATAGACAGGTTCCACACTGAAAATACGCAAACACAGTTTGATAAAGACAAAGAGCGTATTTTTCATCAGAATCCTTAAGCCTAAGCCTACTCACCAAACAGATGTCATGGACGTAATTAATCACCATGCAGTGCTCAATGTGAAATTGTTAATCCATTTTGAAAAAGAAAACAGGCAGAATAAACTAAATCGAACGTCTGTAAATCTAAAAGACAGATTGTTTTGTAACCCTGAATTATTTTCTTCTTTCAACTCGCCAAATTGAGCCCTGTTTCAAATTTCCATAACTGTTCCCGACAGTTCGCAGTTTTTTCATTTCTGTTATATTACATGTTTCGTTTTTTACAATAAAATAGGTGTCTTGACTGTGATAAGGGATCGTGAAATAAGAGCATCTTGTCTGCTAAATTAACAAAGCAAGGCTATGCCATTGCATAGCCATAGGCTTCTACAAGCAAGCACCACTGCTGATGCTACTGCCTTTTCGAAGGTTGTGTTCCACAATATAATATAACCAGTTGATGTTACGGTTTCAATAAATTAACCTGAATATGGGTCAATTTAGCAATTAAGATTTGTTATCTGTAATGGTTATGATAAATTAGGCATTGTTGCGCACTGTTGACATAGGCCTATAGATAAATGTGCATACATTTATTTCCAGTTCAGGGCTTGTGTTCTAAAAATAGATTTAAAAATTGTACTCAGAAAAAAATCATGCAAGTACTGGTACAGTCAAAAAATTTCAAATGCCCATCCCTACCAAACATGTGTATAAGTGGGTTGTCTGTGTACAGAGTGTGAGTAAAGTCTGTGTGTTACCTGGTGGGGCCACCATGCGTTGCCACTTCTGGAAGAGGCAGGTCTTGAGACAGTCTCTGGGACTCAGACTGTAGGTCTTGTGTCTGGACATCAACTCCTGCATCGGCTCCAAGATCACACACAGCTAGAGGAGAGAGAGAGAGAGAGACAGAAAGACAGTCAGACAGAGACAGACAAACATGAAAACACAGAAACGACACAATATAATTCATTAAAAGTGCTATAGCTACACATTTAAAGTGAAAGTGCAATATGCTGTATACCAATACTGCTTAAGTACCAGCACCTCTAACCACATTTACCATTCCACTGACTAAAGCACTGAATGAGACTGAACCAGTGGAGGCTGTTGGGAGGAGCTATAGGAGGACAGGCTCATTGTAATGGCTGCAATGGAATAAATGGAACGGTATCAAACAAAATAAAACATATGGAAACCACATTTGACGCTGTTCCATTAATTCCATTCCAGCCATTACAATGAGCCCGTCCTCCTATAGCTCCACCCACCAGCCTCCACTGGACTGGACATACCCTGAGATAGTTGAGTGTGGAGTTGGACAGGCCACATCTTGTGATGTTTTTAGCCAGCTGATCCAGCATCTGAGGGTCCTGCACCTTGGAAGAGAGTGAAGTGGGGAGGGAGGGAAGAGAGAGCGGAGAGAACAACCAGGGGCGGGTGGTCAGTAACACTGGTCAGGCAATCAATTCATAAATCAATCCACCAAATACGTGTGTCAGGTTTCCATTAGGAAAATGTGGCGCCGGACAGTTGACCGGCAGCATTTTAATTTACCAGACATTTGAGATATATACCGGACCCATATACATTGCGTAACCTGATTAGGGCCTCCACCCACAGTGCTCAGAATGATAGAAATCATATTTAGATTATGGTCATTCATATTAACAGAACATACAAGTCGAGGCGCCAACAATGTGCGGTCCTTCTTAGTGAATTCTGATGCGTACTTTGAAGATGTTAGAATAACTGTCCACATTTACTTTTTGTGGCAACCCTGGGGCCAGCAGGGAGCTACAAAGGAAGGATCCAAAGGAAAGATCCCAAATTCATACAACCAGTAGGCCTAGGCTTAATTAAAAAAAAAAGCAATGAGGCTGATACAACAAATCAGAACGTTTAGTTTAAAACGTTGATAAACTATTATTTCTTCACATTATAAGCACAGCAATGAGCACAAGGCAGTAGACTACATGTTAATGTTCGTTCCATAACGCAATTAGTGGAAAACCCATTGTCAAAGCGCACCGCATATGCAAGTGGTTTCATGTGACAGATGAAAATATCAGGTAGAAATTTTGAAACAGGACAGATCTAATATGCAACAATTAGCATGGGGTGCTAATATGACTAGGATTGTACCTTTGGCGACTGGACAATGAAAGTTGATATAAAATAATTGCCTCCACGGATATGGTCTGATTTTGGGTAGGCTACTTTGAAGCAAGGTAAGACATGCCTCATAATAAGTAGTAAAACGTTCCGGTTTCAAACAATGAAGTATACAGTGCATTCGGAAAGTATTCAGACCCCTTGACTATTTTCCACATTTTGTTACGTTACAGCCTTATTCTAAAATTGATTAAATCGTTTTTTTCCCCCTCAATCTTCACACAATACCCCATAATGACAAAGCAAAAAATAGATATTTTGAAATGTTTGCAATTGTCACCTTTGGCAGTGATTACAGCCTTGAGTCTTCTTGGGTATGACGCTACAAGCTTGGCACACCTGTATTTTGGGAGTTTCTCCCATTCTTCTCTGTAGATCCTTTCAAGCTCTGTCAGGTTGGGTGGGGAGCATCGCTCCACAGCTATTTTCCAGTCTCTCCAGAGATGTTCGATCGGGTTCAAGTACGGGCTCTGGCTGGGCCACTCAAGGATATTCAGAGACTTGTACCGAAGCCACTCCTGCGTTGTCTTGGCTATGTGCTTAGGGTCATTGTCCTGTTGGAAGGTGTACCTTCGCCCTAGTCTGAGGTCCTGAGCAGGTTTTCATCAAGGATCTCTACTTTGCTCTGTTCATCTTTGCCTCGGTCCTGACTAGTCTCCCAGTCACTGCCGCTGAAAAACATCCCCACCGCATGATGCTGCCACCAACATGCTTCACCGTAGGGCTGGTGCCAGGTTTCCTCCAGCCATGAAGCATGGCATTCAGGCCAAAGCATTCAATCTTGGTTTTATCAGACCAGATAATCTTGTTTCTCATGGTCTGAGAGTCTTTAAGTGCCTTTTGGCAAACTCCAAGCAGGCTGTCCAGTGCCTTTTACTGAGTAGTGGCTTCTGTCTGGCCACTCTACCATAAAAGCGTGATTGGTGGAGTGCTGCAGAGATGGTTGTCCTTCTGGAAGGTTCTCCCATCTCCACAGAGGAACCCTAGAGCTTTGTCAGAGTGACCATCGGGTTCTTGGTCACCTGCCTGACCAAGGCACTTCTCCCCCGATTTCTCAGTTTGGCCGGGCGGTGGTTCCAAACTTCTTCCATTTAAGAATGATGGAGGCCACTGTGTTCTTGGGGACCTTCAATGCTGCATACATTTTTTGGTACCCTTCCCCAGATCTGTGCCTCGACACAATCCTGTCTCGGAGCTCTACGGACAATTCCTTCAACCTCATGGCTTGGTTTTTGCTCTGACATGCACTGTGTCATGACTTTCCCTCATGGGCTGAGGATCAAAGATCCTAGCTAGGCAAAGGTTTGAACACCCACTTTCCTGGGGGCCAGTTTTATGACCGGTCAAAAATTCCTTGCAGAAACTTTATTTTCCGTGCCATGCAGTATTGGGAGAGGGACTTTCCCTGTGAGACAAAGGAAGTCTTCCCACCAAGACTCCAACATCCAAAAGTGGATAATGAAACAATATTCCTGCTTAAAATAATGTGGGAAATGGTTGGTGGGGACTTAAAGAATAATCATGTCAAATTCGTTACTATGTTGTGATGTCATTAAAGACGGTGGAACAACATAACTATCTCTGGGGGTGTACACTTTCCAGTTATGGGGTTTGCATCTAATGGTTGTATAAAACGAATGATTAAGTATAATAATAATTTTGTGAAGATAACAATGTGATTTTAGCATTCTAGATGAGATGATTGTTTTCCATATTGATTTGGTCTCAGTCAGTGGCCACGCCCAGATGAGCACAAACATGATGAACGCCCCTTTGACCGAGTGCATAAAAAGCCTTGTGATGAAATTCACCTCAGACCAGCAAGACCCACATTGGTGTCTCTGGTGGGCAAACCAGAGTCCTACATCATCAACACAACTATCGAGGACAGCTACACGTAAATACATGTTGCATTTCTAATCCGAATGAGCATTTAGTGGGGTTTTAAGCATTTGTATTTCCTTGAGCATAGTTTCCAAAGTAACCACGATAGTTTGAATCTCTGTCTCTCCCTTCCACTCTGACCCTCCTTCTACCCAAGCAGTCATGCTATTGTTAGTCAAGTCCACTAGGGACCTGTTTTCATTGTATTACGTTAGTAATCAATAACCTACAGTGGGGAGAACAAGTATTTGATATACTGCCAATTTTGCAGGTTTTCCTACTTACAAAGCATGTAGAGGTCTGTCATTTTTATCATAGGTACACTTCAACTGTGAGAGATGGAATCTAAAACAAAATTCCAGAAAATCACATTGTATGATTTAAGTAATTAATTTGCATTTTATTGCATGACATACAGTGGGGAGAACAAGTATTTGATACACTGCCGATTTTGCAGGTTTTCCTACTTACAAAGCATGTAGAGGTCTGTAATTTTTATCATAGGTACACTTCAACTGTGAGAGACGGAATCTAAAACAAAAATCCAGAAAATCACATTGTATGATTTTTAAGTAATTCATTTGCATTTTATTGCATGACATAAGTATTTGATACATCAGAAAAGCAGAACTGAATATTTGGTACAGAAACCTTTGTTTGCAATTACAGAGATCATACGTTTCCTGTAGGTCTTGACCAGGTTTGCACACACTGCAGCAGGGATTTTGGCCCACTCCTCCATACAGACCTTCTCTAGATCCTTCAGGTTTCGGGGCTGTCGCTGGGCAATACAGACTTTCAGCTCCCTCCAAAGATTTTATATTGGGTTCAGGTCTGGAGACTGGCTAGGCCACTCCAGGACCTTGAGATGCTTCTTACGGAGCCACTCCTTAGTTGCCCTGGCTGTGTGTTTCGGGTCGTTGTCATGCTGGAAGACCCAGCCACGACCCATCTTCAATACTCTTACTGAGGGAAGGAGGTTGTTGGCCAAGATCTCGCGATACATGGCCCCATCCATCCTCCCCTCAATACGGTGCAGTAGTCCTGTCCCCTTTGCAGAAAAGCCCCATAGAATGATGTTTCCACCTCCATGCCTCACGGTTGGGATGGTGTTCTTGGGGTTGTACTCATTCTTCTTCTTCTTCCTCCAAACACGGCGAGTGGAGTTTAGACCAAAAAGCTAAATTTTTGTCTCATCAGACCACATGACCTTCTCCCATTCCTCCTCTGGATCATCCAGATGGTCATTGGCAAACTTCAGACGGGCCTGGACATGCACTGGCTTGAGCAGGGGGACCTTGCGTGCGCTGCAGGATTTTAATCCATGACGGCGTAGTGTGTTACTAATGGTTTTCTTTGAGACTGTGGTCCCAGCTCTCTTCAGGTCATTGACCAGGTCCTGCCGTGTAGTTCTGGGCTGATCCCTCACCTTCCTCATGATCATTGATGCCCCACGAGGTGACATCTTGCATGGAGCCCCAGACCGAGGGTGATTGACTGTCATCTTGAACTTCTTCCATTTTCTAATAATTGCGCCAACAGTTGTTGCCTTCTCACCAAGCTGCTTGCCTATTGTCCTGTAGCCCATCCCAGCCTTGTGCAGGTCTACAATTTTATCCCTGATGTCCTTACACAGCTCTCTGGTCTTGGCCATTGTAGAGAGATTGGAGTCTGTTTGATTGAGTGTGTGGACAGGTGTCTTTTATACAGGTAACGAGTTCAAACAGGTGCAGTTAATACAGGTAATGAGTGGAGAACAGGAGGGCTTCTTAAAGAGAAACTAACAGGTCTGTGAGAGCCGGAATTCTTACTGGTTGGTAGGTGATCAAATACTTATGTCATGCAATAAAATGCAAATTAATTACTTAAAAATCATACAATGTGATTTTCTGGATTTTTGTTTTAGATTCCGTCTCTCACAGTTGAAGTGTACCTATGATAAAAATGACAGACCTCTACATGCTTTGTAAGTTGGAAAACCTGCAAAATCAGCTGTGTATCAAATACTTGTTCTCCCCACTGTACGTCTGTGTGTGTGTGTTTATATTGTGTTATTATTTAGTTAGTAAATAAATAAGCCAATTTGTGTATTGCTGATTCATCAATAAGGATAGGGTTCTTGCAGGTTCAAGGATTATGCAATGTTCAGAATGAGACTGATAAGAGGTAATTATTTAATAAGTGACTGTTATCGATATATAACATTTCTTCTAAGAGTTTAATTCGGGAGATGGTAACTCGTTAAACAACTTAATCCGTGGTGCCCCAAATTCCTAATTAGTTAATTGTTACATTATTAATTTAATTGAGTGACAATTAAACATAGATAGGTGATTCGATAAATAACAGTCATACATTAAAGTGAGTCACGACAACTGTCAACTGTGGGACCTTATTTAGACAGGTGTGTGCCTTTCCAAATCATATCCAATCATTTGAATTTACCACAGGTGAACTCCAATCAAGTTGTAGAAACATCAAGGATGATCAATGGACACAGGATGCACCTGAGCTAAATTCAGAGTCTCATAGAAAAGGGTCTGAATACTTATCTAAATAAGGTATTTGTTTTTATTTTAAATAAAATTTGCAAAAATGTCAAAAAAACGTTTTTTGCTTCGTCATTATGGGGCATTGTGTGTAGATTGCTGAGGATATATTTTTTTTAAATTCATTTTAGAATAAGGCTGAAACTTAACAAAACTTGGAAAAAGTCAAGGGGTCTGAATACTTCCGAAGGCACTGTATGTTTTCAAAATGCATACTGCCTCCAGCTCAGTGCAAAGTGGTGTGACGCGCTGATGAAGCCCAATGTCCGTTAACTATGCAGTAGTTGTTTGAGATGCTGTAGCAGCAGCTCTCGTGCTGTCTGACAGATATGCTGCTCAAAGGCTCAGTACCTGTGTGCTGATACATAACGAATATACTGTACACAAACGCCAATTTAATTCCACAAAATTATGCAAATTAACCTATAGACTGATAAGCATGACCAGTCAAATATATTTCCATCAATTAATAGACTAAAAAGTATTATTTCACAATAGGATTTCTCTCGTCTTCTCCGGGACTCACGTGCATGGCCAGTATGCTGCGAGGCAGGACTTCTCTGTGTTGTCTGATGCTAAAATGCCACGTCTTGATCCTCATCATGTCGTCAAACATGAACTCCAGGTACAGACGGCCCTCCACACACACCTAAAGGAGAGAGAGGTTAGAGTTCAAACGCCTAGAGCAAGGGAGAGGTAAGGTTTCCTATCATAAAGTGCACAGAAAATAGGGGGAGAAAAAGAGTTGGGGATAAAAGAGGCTAAAATACATGTTTGGATTTGTAAATGGAAGGTGGAGTTGTGGAATTCTAAATGGGGAATGCATATGTTCAAATGTACCAGAAAGTGTTTTTTCGTACCTGTGTGAACATGGGCTTGCCATTCTGTGTAACCATGGTGCACTGGTCACAGTCCAGAGACACAAAGTTAGTGTGGAAGGACTCTTTAGGGTGCTTCAATGTGTAGAACAGCTCAGTGGCGCCCCCTTCAAAGATACTCCGGAAATAACGCGGGATCAATGTCCGCCCGATAGCTAGGGAGAGGATACGTTTACTGTTTCAATAAAATGATTTTATATCAAATGCAGATTTACACGTTACGGTTACAGACGGTGAAATGTATACAATCCCATAATAAAGCATAACCTCCCTGAAATTCTAAATGTTTCTTACTGTATCGTTTGGGCCCGTCCTCCAGACAAAAGGTGATGGTGAGCATGGCATCATCCTCAAAGAACTCCATGGTGAAGGCATCCCACCAGAGATTGTCACAGTCCTACAACACACAACATACAATCGATTAGTCCAACAGTAAAGGGAAGAGAATATACAGTTGAAGTCCGAAGTTTACATACACCTTAGCCAAATACATTTAAACTCAGTTTTTCACAATTCCTGACATTTAATCCTAGTAAAAATTCCCCGTCTTAGGTCAGTTAGGATCACCACTTTATTTTAAGAATTTGAAATGTCAGAATAATAGTAGAGAGAATGATTTATTTCAGCTTTTATTTATTTCATCACATTCCCAGTGGGTCAGAAGTTTACATACACTCAATTAGTATTTGGTAGCATTGCCTTTAAATTGTTTAACTTGGGTCAAATGTTTCGGGTAGCCTTCCACAAGCTTCCCACAATAAGTTGGGTGAATTTTGGCCCATTCCACCTGACAGAGCTGGTGTAACTGAGTCAGGTTTATAGGCCTCCTTGCTCGCACAAACTTTTTCGTTCTGCCAACAAATGTTCTATAGGATTGAGGTCAGGGCTTTGTGATGGCCACTCCAATACCTTGACTTTGTTGCCCTTAAGCCATTTTGCCACAACTTTGGAAGTATGCTTGGGGTCATTGTCCATTTGGAAGACTCATTTGCGACCAAGCTTTAACTTCCTGACTGATGTCTTGAGATGTTGCTTCAATATATCCACATAATTTTCCTTCCTCATGATGCCATCTATTTTGTGAAGTGCACCAGGCCCTCCCCCTTTTTCCTCCAAACATAACGATGGTCATTATGGCCAAACAGTTCTATTTTTGTTTCATCAGACCAAAGGACATTTCTCCAAAAAGTACGATCTTTGTCCCCATGTGCAGTTGCAAATTATAGTCTGGCTTTTTTATGGCGGTTTTGGAGCAGTGGCTTCTTCCTTGCTGGGATTGCTTTCGCACCAAAGTACGTTCATCTCTAGGAGACAGAACGCGTCTCCTTCCTGAGCGGTATGACGGCTGCGTGGTCCCATGGTGTTTATACTTGCGTACTATTGTTTGTACAGATAAAAGTGGTACCGTCAGGCGTTTGGAAATTGCTCCCAAGGATGAACCAGACTTGTGGAGGTCTACAATTTTTGTCTGAGGTCTTGGCTGATTTCTTTTGATTTTCCCATGATGTCAAGCAAAGAGGCACTGAGTTTGAAGGTTGGCCTTGAAATATATCCACAGGTACACCTCCAACTGACTCAAATGATGTCAATTAGCCTATCAGAAGCTTCTAAAGCCATGACATCATTTTCTGGAATTTTCCAAGCTGTTTAAAGGCACAGTCAACTTAGTGTATGTAAACTTCTGACCAACTGGAATTGTGATACAGTGAATTATAAGTGAAATAATCTGTCTGTAAACAATTGTTGGAAAAATTTAATAAATCAATCTCCCACCACAGACTAAGGGCACAGCCAAATCGCCATCATCGCTCACCTCCGTCCAGTTCTGTAGCCGTTTGTTGAGCTCAAATATCCTGTAGTCTGTCTGGTTGCCGTATGGTGTTGGTCTCCTGCAACAGGACAGAGCAGGGTCAGTACAGATGGACTAGACTTAAAGGCACAACAATTTTATTTTCCAATGTAAAGTTTTGTTCCAACACTATTTGGAGGCCTGAGGGGGTAAAGGTTGATGCTTTGAAGGTCAGTCGGTGTACTCACCCCATGCCAGGCTCTAGGTATGACGGGGGGTACATTGGAGTTGGCCTGCAGACGGAAAGACAGGAGAGTCAAAATTAAACAACCCAGTATTATATAGGTACTAATAGTAATAACTTCCAGTACTAACAGTATTGGCAGATGTGTGTGTGTGTCCTACCCCACGTCCCTGTCCAGCATGGTGCCGGGGTGGAAGGGGGGGAAGGTACTGCCGTTAGGGCCGGGCTCCTTTGGGGAGTACAGCTTGAACGACTTAGACGAACAGCCTGGAAAGAAAGAAAGAAAGAAAGAGAGCTTGAACGACTTGGACGATGGGCTTGTAGCCTGAGGCTCCGAACAGAGTCGTATACAGCCCGTGGTACAAAAATCAACCAATGAATTGCATCCTCGCGCCAACACGCCCCACGATTAAGCCTGCTACAACCAATTAATTGACTTGCTTGTTTTTGCCCCTTCATGTGTGAAAGGAGCCTATTAGAAAAATATGCATATTTAATCTTATTTACACTCTACCAGGTAGGTTAACTGAAATAACATTCATTTACAGCATATTTCAGGGTATAGATGAGAAAACAGGTAATGTAAATGGGACACTCCTCTCAGTCTTTCTATCATAGGGCTGGCAGGGTACAGTAGCAGGGATGCAAACTGGTGAGGGCCCAAAAAGGGGAAAAATGTCACACGGAAACAAGCAAAAAATCGAAACTTCCGATTTTCAGTGGGGTTGTCACAACACCAACTAACGATGTGATACCAGGCCAAGTATCACGATACAGAGTATTATATTGACACCACAGGGTTGGCCCCCTCTCAATCACACACACTCTGTCACACACACACACACTGTCACAAACACACACTGTCACACACACACACACACTCTGTCACAAACACACACACACTGTCACACAAACACACTCTGTCACACACACACTGTCACAAACACACACTGTCACACACACACACACACACTGTCACACACACACACTCTGTCACACACACACACAGTCACACACACACACAGTCACACACACACACTGTCACACACACTCACACACACACACTCTGTCACAAACACACTGTCACAAACACACTCTGTCACACACACACACACTCCGTCACACACACAAACACTCTCTCACACACACACACACTCTGCCATACAAACACACTCTGCCACACAAACACACTGTCACACACACACACTGTCACACACACACACACTCTGTCACACACACACACACACACACTCTGTCACACACACACACTCTGTCACACACACACACTCTGTCACACACACACACTCTGTCACACACTGTCACACACACACACACTCTGTCACACACACTCTGTCACACACACACACTCTGTCACACACACACACTCTGTCACACAAACACACTCTCTGTCACACACACACACTCTGTCACACACTGTCACACACACACACACTCTGTCACACACACTCTGTCACACACACACACACACACACTGGCACACACACACACACTGTCACACACACACTCTGTCACACACACACTCTGTCACAAACACACTCTGTCACAAACACACTCTGTCCACACACACTCTGTCACACACACACTCTGTCACACACACACTCTGTCACACACACACTCTGTCACACACAAACACTCTGTCACACACACACACACTGTCACACACACACACACTCTGTCACACACACACACCTCTGTCACACACACACACACTCTCTGTCACACACACACACACTCTCTGTCACACACACACACTCTCTGTCACACACACACTCTCTGTCACACACACACACTCTGTCACACACACACCTCTCTGTCACACACACACACTCTCTGTCACACACACACACACACACTGTCACACACACACACTCTCTGTCACACACACACACTCTGTCACACACACACAAACTCTGTCACACACACAATCTGTCACACACACACACTCTTTCACACACACACACACACACACTCTTTCACACACACACACACACACACACTCTGTCACACACACACGCACTGTCACACACACACACACACTGTCACACACACAAACACACTGTCACACACACACTCTGTCACACACACACTCTGTCACACACACACTCTGTCACACACACACTCTGTCACACACACACACACTCTGTCACACACACACACACTCTGTCACACACACACACACTCTGTCACACACACACACACTCTGTCACACACACACACACACACACACACTCTGTCACACACACACACACACTGTCACACACACACACACACACTGTCACACACACACACACACTGTCACACACACACACACACTGTCACACACACACACACACTGTCACACACACACACTGTCACACACACACACACACACTCTGTCACACACACACACACACACACACTCTGTCACACAAACACACACACACTCTGTCACACACACACAAACTCTGTCACACACACACTCTGTCACACACACACACACTCTTTCACACACACACACACACACACTCTTTCACACACACACACACACACACACTCTGTCACACACACACACTCTGTCACACACACACACACTCTGTCACACACACACACACACTGTGTCACACACACACACTCTGTCACACACACACACTGTCACAAACAAACACTGTCACACACACACACACACTCTGTCACACACACACTCTGTCACACACACACACACTCTGTCACACACACACCACTCTGTCCACACACACACTCTGTCACACACACACACTCTGTCACACACACACACTCTGTCACACACACACACACACTCTGTCACACACACACTGTCACAAACACACACTGTCACACACACACACACACACTCTGTCACACACACACACACTCTGTCACGCACACACACACACACTCTGTCACACACACACACACACTGTCACACACACACACACACTGTCACACACACCACACACTCTGTCACACACACACACTCTGTCACACACACACACTGTCACAAACAAACACTGTCACACACACACACACTGTCACACACACACTGTCACACACACACTCTGTCACACACACACTCTGTCACACACACACACTCTGTCACACACACACACTCTGTCACACACACACACTCTGTCACACACACACACACACACTCTGTCACACACACACACTCTGTCACACACACACACTGTCACACACACACACACACTGTCACACACACACACACTCTGTCACACACACACTGTCACAAACACACTGTCACAAACAAACACTGTCACACACACACACACTGTCACACACACACACTCTGTCACACACACACACACTCTGTCACGCACACACACACACACTCTGTCACACACACACACACACACTCTGTCACACACACACACACACACTCTGTCACACACACACACACACACTCTGTCACACACACACACACACACTGTCACACACACACACACACACTGTCACACACACACACACACTCTGTCACACACACACACACACTGTCAACACACAAACTCTGTCACACACACACTCTGTCACACCACACACTGTCCACACACACACTCTGTCAAACACACACTCTGTCACACACACACACTCTGTCCACACACAACACACACACACACTCTGTCACACCACACACCACACCACACTCTGTCACACACACACAAACTCTGTTCACACACTCTGTCACCACACACACACCACTCTGTCACACACACACACACTCTGTCACGCACACACACACACTCTGTCACACACACACACACACTCTGTCACACACACACACACACTCTGTCACACACACACACACACTCTGTCACACACACACACAAACTCTGTCACACACACACACAAACTCTGGTCACCACACACACCACTCTGTCACACACCACACTCTGTCACACACACACACTCTGTCACACACACACACCTCTGTCACACCACACACTCTGTCACAACACACCACACCACACTCTGTCACAAACACACTGTCCACAACAAACACTGTCACACACACACACACACTCTGTCACACACACACTCTGTCACACACACACACTCTGTCACGCACACACACACACACTCTGTCACACACACACACATTCTGTCACACACACACACACACACTCTGTCACACACACACACACACACTCTGTCACACACACACACACTGTCACACACACAAACTCTGTCACACACACCCACTCTGTCACACACACACTCTGTCAAAACACCCACCTGTCACACACACACTCTGTCACACACACACACACACACACACACACTCTGTCACACACACACACACACTCTGTCACACACACACACACACACTCTGTCACACACACACACACACACTCTGTCACAACACACTGTCACAAACAAACACTGTCACACCACAACCACACACTCTGCACACACACACTCTGTCACACACACACACACTCTGTCACGCACACACACACACACCTCTGTCACACACACACACACTTCTGTCACACACACACACACACTCTGTCACACACACACACACACACTCTGTCACACACACACACACTGTCACACACACAAACTCTGTCACACACACACTCTGTCACACACACACTCTGTCAACACACACTCTGTCACACACACACTCTGTCACACACACACACACACACCACACCTCTGTCACACACACTCACACACTCTGTCACACACACACACACACTCTGTCACACACACACACCACACCACACTCTGTCACACACACACACTCTGTCACCCACACACACATCTGTCACACACACACACACACTCTGTCACACACACACACACACTCTGTCACAACACACCCACACACTCTGTCACACACACACACACACTCTGTCACACACCACACTCTGTCACCACACCACACACTCTGTCACAACACACACTCTGTCACACACACACACTCTGTCACACACACACACAACTCTGTCACACACACACACACTGTCACACACACAAACTCTGTCACACACACACTCTGTCACACACACACTCTGTCAAACACACACTCTGTCACACACACACTCTGTCACACACACACACACACACACACACACTCTGTCACACACACACACACACACACTCTGTCACACACACACACACACAAACACACTCTGTCACACACACACACTCTGTCACACACACACACTGTCACACACACACACTCTGTCACACACTGTCACACACATACACAGTCACACACACACACT